GACTATGTTGTTGTTATTGTATCGAAAAAATAAAAAAAAAATCAACAAAAATGAGTAGACATGATTTCTCTTCTAATTCAAACAGTAGTTTTTGAAATAATAAATTTCCAGTAAAAAAACAAACAAATTTCCCTCCCATTTGATCACTTCTGTTAACAACTAACGAGAATTTGACGAAGATCTAACTGCCAAGTACTAACGTTGGTAGCAGAATTGAAGTTTGGATACTGAATTCGAACAAGTTTCAAATGAGTACTTATTTTAAAATGGCATTTACGTTGGGTATCAAAACCATTGTTTTTTGTGACCCGGACCGGTCCGGCGGATCGATTTGGGACCCGATCGACCCAGAGTCATAACCGGTCCGGATGAGTTATTTGGACCGGGTAACAATAGAACCGATCAAATCCGATCAACCCGGCCTTGACCCGTCGACCCGGGTCGTTGACCCAGTCAGGTCAACCAGGTCGACCCGGTCTCTATAATTTTTTTTATTTTTTTATATTTTTTTATGTAAAAAATAAAAACTATGTTTAAACAATGACATAATAAATATTTATTGTGAGATTCAATATTATAACACTTAAATGTACAAATTTTGTATACAAAACATTTAATTTTGTTACTTTTTTGTATATTTATATGTCAAAAATACGATATATATAATATTAAAAAATTTTAAAATTAATTATCCAGTTCAACAATTGACCTGACAATTGGACACATAACCTAGTGACCCGAAAACCTGTCCGGATCGATTTCTGGGTCAAATTTAAAAACTATGATCAACGATTTCTGGGCCGAATTTAAAAACTATGATCAAAACTGCAATCTACCTTGTTTAAATAATTAGTTGCGAGCACGTTGTTAATTTCCCCATGGTTCTCAACAATAGATTAATTTTTTTTTATGTATTTCAAATTAAAAAAAAAAAAAAAAAGAACTATTGGTATGCCCTCTATTTTAATGTGGTTTTTTGGACATTTTGGTCAACAGCGTCAATAAATGGTTGTTGCATATTTTTGGGTGTACTAATAAATAAAAATTATGTTCAGTAACAGCTGGATCCGAGTTGTGCTACCAAATTTTGGCCTTCTCTTCATTTATTACTATACTATATTTATTATTATTACACATGGAAATCGACAAAAGTCTCTACAACTTGCTTTTTACGGCCATTTCTTTAAATACTGGCAAATGTGTATTTATTCAGATTAGTTATGCTAGCGAGCCAACAACCAATGGGACAGCTCCACGTGAGGCTGTCTCACATTAAAGTCATGTGAGACAGACTTACATGGAACTGTATAATTGGTTGTTGGCTCCTTAGCATTACTGATATTCATATATATATTTTTATATTTATAATGGCATAAAAAGAATGATTTTGCGTTCCTTACGGAACTATGCATTGAAATTTGAAGGTGGCTTATATAGGAATTGCGAAATATTATAAGTAACATCTCGCCTACAGTTACTAGACTTATAAAAATCAGAGTAAGATTTTTATTTTTTTTTTATTTTTTCGAAAACTCTAACTTTATTTTTGAAAACACTTTATCTTTCGCGCGGAATGCTACCTTAAAACCCATTTACTATTCTCGTTCTCAAGACATTTAATCAATCATGCATGCAACCAATTAAGTCCACTCTCGAGATAAGATACCATGAAAAATATTGGAATTAAACATGCATTGTCATACGTCTCACAATCACATATCGAGTCTGATAATGCGGAAGCTAACGATCTCGCTCGAATACATGATCAAAAATCAAAATATACTCAGTTCACAAACATGTTCAAATAATCTCATGGCGTGTTTATCAAATATCCACTCGTTTTAGACCACCACCATCATGCTTGCTCACGTGCCACGTGGACTCTATCACCTAAAAAAAAATAAAAAATGGGAGCGTGAACATAAAGTCTACGTGCTCCGCAGAAATCGAAACAAAATATACATCACAAATAATTCAAATAATGACGTCAACATATATATAAATACAAAAATTCTATGGAGCCATCAGATGGTTTTTTTATGGAGCCATCAATCACCTAATGTATTGACACATGTCCCAAGTGTATTTATTGTAGGACACGTGTCAATACACTATTTGTGAATAACTATGGATGACTCCATAAGTCGAGCCATCCGATGGCTCCATAGTAAAACTGTATATAAATAAATTAACTGTTGAGACTCCTGGACTCTCTGGTACTCATGTGCACATTCTAGGGGTCTCCTCTCATAGAAATCCAGGAAAAAGGCATGCTCACCACCATCTGGGCACTCGACTTATTAGGAGGGGCACGCTCACCACCATCTGGGTACTCAACTTAGGACGGGCACGCTCATCACTATCCAAGTCATAACTAACTCGACCTAGACGGACACACTCATCCGTCCAGGTCAACAATCTACTCATACACATACCTCAGACAGGATAAGCGATTATAGACAATGTAATACCCAATACAAGGTCCCCACCTTATAGCTGATAAATGCAAGTTCTGGGAATGGATGCGTAGCTGGCGGAGGCTCGACTCTCCTTACGCAACAAAATATTTAAGCAAATTATTCTAAGTACTCAGCTCAACTTGAAAAACTCGATTCTATAATTACAAATCTTTTTCAATTGTTCGCTCGCTCGGTTTTAAAAAACATTTAAAACTTATTTTCTTGATTAGCTAAGTCGGCATGCCGAAATAAAGAAATTAATGAGCTAGGTTAAACAATTTCTATCTTGAGGCTGTCTAAGATTATTGGAAAATTCTCGAACTCCAGAACTAATTTCTGACTTAAACTTAGACTGACTCGACTCCAAAAAATGCTTAAGTCTCGGCTCGCGCTTGAACCGGAACTCCA